CGCCGTGCCCCCAGCCCCCCACGCCCGTCTCCTTCCCAGATGCTCTGAGCGTTGACCGTCGCCGGGCAGGCCTCGGCCCGCCATGAACACCTCCCCAGGCACGGTGGGCAGCGACCCGGTCATCCTGGCCACGGCCGGCTACGACCACACCGTGCGCTTCTGGCAGGCCCACAGCGGGATCTGCACGCGCACCGTGCAGCACCAGGACTCCGTATCCTCTACCCCGCCCGGGGGCGGGACGGTGGCCCCGGCGGGACACCAGCAGGGGCCTCCCGGCTCTCTTCCCTGCCCCCTTCCTTAACACACCCAGCAGGTGAACGCATTGGAGATCACGCCCGACCGCAGCATGATTGCTGCTGCAGGTACAGGTGATTCTTGACTTCTGCCTCCCGACCTCTGACGGGTCCACCCAGCCCTGCTTCAGTTCCGCCCGTGTCCCCAGGTTACCAGCACATCCGCATGTATGACCTCAACTCCAATAACCCCAACCCCATCATCAGCTACGACGGGGTGAATAAGAACATCGCCTCCGTGGGCTTCCACGAGGACGGCCGCTGGATGTACACCGGCGGGGAGGACTGCACCGCCCGCATCTGGGATCTCAGGTGTCCGTCCGGGTGCTGGGCAGGAGGGGCCCCGCCTAGGGTTGGCTGTGGGCTGAGCCAGGGTGCTTTGTGTTGGCGCTTTAGTGAAGGAAGGAGAAAAGCCTGATGGAGCTATCCCTACCTTGAGGCAAGGGGCTGGCCTTCCATTCCCCAGGGAGGAAAGGCCAGAATTCCCAGCAGCTGGAGGAGAAGTTGGCCAGGGCAGGGCATCCAGCCCGAGACAGTGTGTGACTCTTGACCGCCACCACAGGTCCCGGAACCTGCAGTGTCAGCGCATCTTTCAGGTGAACGCGCCCATTAACTGTGTGTGCCTGCACCCCAACCAGGTGAGGGGCATTCCTGGGGCCGGGCACCCCAGGGGGCTTAGGGGGACCAGCAGCGTGCTCACGCCTCGCCTGCCCCGCACACCCCAGGCGGAGCTCATTGTGGGTGACCAGAGTGGCGCTATCCACATCTGGGACCTGAAGACCGACCACAACGAGCAGCTCATCCCCGAGCCCGAGTTCTCCATCACGTCCGCCCACATCGACCCCGACGCCAGCTACATGGCAGCCGTGAACAGCATGGTGAGCTCAGTGGACCGGCCGGAGGGTCGGCTGCACCCCGGGGGTCCCGCAGGCCCGCGCTGCCCCCCAGCCCCAGCCCCAACACCCATCCAGCGCCTCACGCCAGGAGCCTCCACGTGCCACTCCCGCTGGCCCCCTTGCTGCTTGCCCTGTCCCCTGCCACCACCCGCCCCGCAGGCCGGCCACTCCCCTCCCCTGCTCACCTCCTGGTGCTGGTGGGCTCCCTTCCTCCTCTCTGGGCCTCCGGACCTAAGTCACCTATTTCTTCCTCGGCCATTGAAGCGTCCTGCAGCCTTGCTGGCTGGACTTTGACATTCCCCTAAGGAGACCACGAGATGCCCGGGCCCCTTCCCATGGCCCAGAGAATACTCTGGTTTGGGGCCTCATTGTCTCCCTTTACGTCACTTAAATCCCAGCATGTTGCTTTTTCCATATCCCAGACTTCTCCCTGGGTACCGCCTGTCCTCCGCGCCTCCCTGCTGGCCAAGTAGCACCCTTAGCCTGTGGGAGAGTGTGTGTGTGTGAGTGTGTGTGAGTGAGACAGGCCGGTGTTGACTCGTGCTCTTGGCTGGCTGGGCATGGCCCTTGAGTGGGGCCAGGCCTCCCTGGGCCTCCTGTAGGCAGGAGGTGCAGGACCCACCTGCCTGTCCTAGCTCTGGTCCCTTTGCACATTTAGCCACCACTGCGGGGTGTCCCCGGATCCAGGTCTAGGTTTCAGTGCATTCTGGTGCTCTGGGTGCAGAATGACTGCCCCCCACTGTCTGTAGGGCAACTGTTATGTGTGGAATCTCACGGGGGGCATTGGTGACGAGGTGACCCAGCTCATCCCCAAAACCAAGATTCCAGCCCATACGCGTTACGCCCTTCAGTGCCGCTTCAGCCCTGATTCCACGTACGTGTTGGCCCGGTGGCTGGTGGGATCTGACCTGCCTGGGGCTGGCAGCTTGGCGGGGGGTGGGGGGGTGGGGGGCCACGCAGGAGCAGCTGCATCCCCACGCTCCCCTCCCCCCAGGCTCCTCGCCACCTGCTCAGCTGACCAGACATGCAAGATCTGGAGGACGTCCAACTTCTCCCTGATGACGGAGCTCAGCATCAAGAGCAGCAACCCCGCAGAGTCGTCTCGAGGCTGGATGTGGGGCTGCGCGTTCTCTGGGGACTCTCAGTACATCGTCACGGGTGAGCCTCGCCCCCCCCAGGGAGGCCCATCCTCCCCCATCCCCTGCTGAGAGCCCCCCACCCCAGGAGGGCCCTCTGAAGGGGCCAGTTGTGCTGCCCTCCTCCCTCCGCCCTAGGCCTTGGCCCTGAGCTGCCGCTCCATTCCCCTCTGTAGCCTCGTCTGACAACCTGGCCCGGCTCTGGTGTGTGGAGACTGGAGAGATCAAGAGAGAGTATGGTGGGCACCAGAAGGCTGTTGTCTGCCTGGCCTTCAATGACAGTGTGCTGGGCTAGCTTGAGTTCTCTGGACTGCAAACCACCACCAGGCGGTGGCTCTGGTGGGACTCGCCTCCCCAGCACCCTGGCCGAGGAGAGCCTCTGCGTCAGCTCAGCCCAGATCTGCCAGGCCAGCCTGCTCTCTGTGCCCAGTTGCTCTTCAGGATGCCCACTGCGCCAGGCTGCATTGCCTGGGTGGGGAAAGGCCGCACCGCCTAAGAGACTGGACCCCAACCTGAGGCTGAGCCCCGTTTCCCTCCTGAGCCCCGCCCCCGCCCCTTTCAGTCCTGAGGCTGCAGAGAGCACCACCATGGCGAGATCAGGGTTTATTAGTCTGCGACAGCAGCCGGCCTCCGCAGCGCTGGCGGGGACAGGGCTGGCCTGGGCCAGGCGGGGTTTTAGTCTGGGAGGTAATAAAAACAGACGGACACGCAGATGTTGCTCGGGAAGCAGATGTCGATGCAGAGATAGATCAGTCGCTGCCTCTGGGGCCCTGGGGAGGGAAAAGGGGCTCATCAGTTCCTAAAGGGCTCTCTTGCTCAGCCCGTGCTGCGGGAGCCCAGTCCCCTCCACACGCCTGCCCCGACTCACCCTCTGCTCGACGGGCCCAGTAGATGGGGGTCTCTGCACAGAGGTGCCGCACGGGAGCCCCCACCTGGGCAGGGTCCACGGCACGGTCCCCAAGCACTGCCAGCAGCTCCTGTGCATGCTGGGGGTCCCGGCCGGGCGTGCGGGGTCCTTGGGCCTGTAGAAAGACTCAGTGGGCCCCCGTGTGGAGGCAGTGCCCTGCCCTTGGCTGGGTGGGACGTCACCTCCCGCCCCCACCGCCGCAGCACCTGCTCTTGCCAGCAGCCTCAGCAGAGGGAAGATAGAGCTTTCTGTTCCTCTGAAACTGGAGCCCTGGCTGGCCAGCGGGGCTGCACACAGGACCTTTTGTCTGGCCCCTGGCCTGCAGGCCCGGCCAGCTGGGCTTGCTCACCCTAGAAGTGTCCACCAGCAGGCGCAGGGTCTCCCGGTCTCGGGCCTCCATCGGGCGGAGGAAGCAGGCCTTGTGCTCCGCAGGGCGGTAACAGACGCAGCCCTGGGGAGGCAGGTGGGTGAGGCGGGGGCATCCCAACCCGAGGCAGGCTGGCAGCCTCCCGGCCCACTCACGCTCTGCCCGTCGAACAGCACAGCCCAGCTGCGGTTGCTCTGAGGCGGAGTCACTAGGATGGTTGCCATGTTCCTGGCCATGTCCACTAGGGTGGTTTGGTTGGACTGGGGCCCCGGGAGCCCCGGGAGTGGGAGCCGGAGCATCTGCGGCAGCGGCTGGCGGAGGAAGGTTAGACTTCAGCCGTGCAGGCGTCCCAAGCACGCCATGCCCTGGCCCGGGCCATTTCTGTTTTCCGCGTGGCCTTTCCCTGTACTCTTTCCCCATCCGGGCCAGTGTTCTGGCCCTGGCTCCACTGGAGGGCTGCGGCGGGGGAGCTGCCTGGTGCACCCCTCTGCTCACGCCCGGCCGGAGGGGCTCACCTTGGGTGGGCTGTGAGCAGAGCCGAGCAGCGCTCCGGTCACGGCCCCCGCCGCAGCCAGCGCCAGCAGCAGCAGCAGCCCCGCGACTTTCCAGACCCCAAGGCAGGATTTGGTCTTCAGCTGGGGACATCAGGGCAGGCTTGTTCAGGGAAGGAGGGGCTGCGGGGGGGGGGGGGATAGCGTTCCTGTCTCCTGCTCAGGACAGCTCAGGTCCTTGTCCCAGGGGAGAAGGCGCTTACCTGGGCAGGCCTAGGCCCTGGGCTCCCGCTGTGGCTGCCCTCCTCCATACTGCAGCCCCTGCTGACAAAGCACCAATTGTCCGCTGCCCCCTTCCAGCCTTCGGCCAGGGAAGTCTCAGGAAGCCTTTGATGACTGTGCCCTCCCAGACCCCACCGCCTCCTCCCCGCCAGTATCTGATATCCCCGAGAGTGCCAGGATGGCCCTCTCCCCCACTGGCTGGCCTGGCCCTGGACGCCTGGCTTGTGCAGACAGAAGAGCATGGGGTCTTGGGAGGGCATGAAAGTGAGGCCTTCGCAGGAAGCCAGCTCAACTGGCTGGCTAGGGAGCGCCCAGGCCCAGCCGGTGATTTTAGCTGGTTTGGGCAGGTTTAACGCTTCCTAGTGTGTTTCTGGTGCCTGTTACCTCAATAAATGCATGTTCAATACACTAAGGGTGCAGGGCTATGCCGGTCCTTCCCAGAAGCCAGCGCCACCATCCCATAGCCGTGCCCAGGAGGGGCCCAGGCCGGCCCACAGTGAAGCCAGCCTCCAGCACGCCAGGACAGTGAAGTCAGCTTCCCCGCTCCCCCTCGCCCCCAGCACCTCCCCCTCGCCCTCCTCACATTGGCCTTGCATGGGTGTGCCCACCACCCACCACCAGCCCTGAGGCCCTGTCTGGGGCTCTGCTTTTCCTGATGCTTCTCTGAAGTGGACTGGGCTGCAGCAGCCAAGTATTCCAGCTCTGGAATTGGAATTCCACCTTGGCCTTCCTTTCTGTGCTGGGCCTTGGGTTTTAACCCAGGGCCTGTGCACTGTCCCTGAGCATTTTTTTTTGTTGGATGTGGATCTTGAATTCTGGGCCTGGATGCTGAGCTCTTAAGCTCAAGGCTAGCACTCTACCACTCGAGCCACTTCTGGTCTTTTCTGTTTATGTCGTGCTCAGGAATCAAACCCAGGGCCTTATGCTTTCAAGGCAAGCACTCTACCATTAAGCCACCTTCTCAGCTCCTCCCTGAGCTTTTTCGCTCAGGGCTGGTGCTCTATCACTTAAGCACAGCCCAAGTAGAGACAAGACTCATGGAGCTGTTGCTGACTTAAGACTCTGATGCTCAGATCTCAGCCTTCTGAATAGCTAGGATTACAGGTGTGAGCCTCCAGTGCTCTGCTACTTAATTCTTAGCCTGTTGCCACCCACTCCTAGGCAGAAATCCCTGCTATGAAGACGAGAAGACAGCTCAGTTGGAGTTTTAGAGTTTAATGTGCATTTGGGTACACACAGTGAAGTGGGTGGGAGGTGGGGCACATAAGAGACTTCCGGCCCCTCCCCAGCAGATCAAGGCTGTGGCAGCTGCTGTGGGGGATGAGGCCCTCATGGGCCTGCTCAGTATCCAGACACACCGTTAGCCATCATCTGCACTGCCACCCTCCACTGCCTGGCCACGCAGCCCCTGGCCGTGGGGTGCGTGGTTGCAGGTACGGGACACTTTATTGCTGTGAGAACTTGGTGAATGGGGAGTGTTGTGGCCACTGGGATTCAGGGTGAAGCATTGGGAAGGAGTCGGCCAGGAGCCATGTTCCAGGCTCTGCCCAGTGAGTGCTGCAGACGCCCCACTCTGCCAGGTCAGCAGACACAGGGAACAGGTGCAGGAGGGGAGGCCAGGCCCTGCCGAGAGCCTGCTGGCCGCTGGGCCCTGCCCGTCTTACCATTCGGCTATCAACAAGGGAGTCTGAAGCCAAAGCAGGTGGCTTCACAGGCCACTGATCAAACCCCACCCTGGCCCAGGCTCACCCCAGGACAAGGGAAGACAGGAAGAGTGAATATTTTGTAAAGGACTTCCTGCACTGAGGTTGGGGCACCTCTCCCCTTCTTACCCCAGGGGCGGGGGCGGGAGCCACAGGAAATCCTTGGCCAGCACACTGCTGGCCTTCAGGTGAGCTGTGGGACATGGAAATTCTTCAGTGGGATTTACCCCTATGAGACAGAGCACAACCATTAATCTACACACTTACAATTCAATGCCACCACTCACAAATGGGTTCACAAGTTAAAAAATAATGGTTTTTGGTACCAATGCTGCTCTGAGCTACCTTCACAGCAGCCCAGAGTTCAGTGACGGCACCCACACCCACTCGGCCACTGGGCCTACCATATACTCAGTCTGAGTCACCTGGGTTTAAATGCACACTTCAGACAGCTGAGGTTTGGCCGGGTAGTTAACAGAACTGGGCAGCTCAGTGTGAAGAGCTGCAGCCCTGGACATCTGAAACGGAACAGATACTCAATTGTGACATCAAAGTGGTTTTCAAGGAAGCAAGCAGGCAGTGGCAAGGCAGCACCTCTCACCCTGAGAACAGGGTGGCACCGTCAGGGAGCAGCCCCTCCTCCACTCCACAGGGGTGAAGCTGGACGTTGCATCGGGCTGCTGGGCTGCGTGGGCACACTGGAAGCCACAAGCCAGCCCTTCTTCCTCTCTGCCCTTCAGTGATGATCCCTGAATTAAGTTTTCCAGTAAAACATGTGATGTACATCCCTAGACCCAACTCGATCTCACAAGCAAGGCTTGAGGGCTAGCTGAATCCTGGGCAGATACTATGTCTGCCCTCACTGACAGATACAAAGCCCAAGACCCACCTGACAATGCCCTCCAAGCTTAAAAGTGCATCTTAAAATATAAGCATCTGTAAACAACACCTCCCCCCAAGCGTTTACTTACAACATTAACAACTACCACCCTCTGCTTAACTTCAATTGCAGTCTGTGGCCACTCCAACCATGCCTAAGTCCCACCTATTAATCTGGGTAACTGATTTTTCAATTTTCTTTTTTTTTTTTATTCCCGAGGTTAAAGACACTAGATCTTTAACCTTGAAGGGCGGGCAAGAGGTCAGCTATGCTGTCAACATAGAAGTCGGGGACCATTTTCTTCTTGGACATACAGTCACTTTCCTGATTGCTCTTCACATCTCCAAGAGTGGAGACTCCGGTGAGGGTCAGGATGGTCTTCAGGCCACAGGTGGCGCCCAGCAGGATGTCTGTGTCCAGGCGGTCCCCCACCATGATGGTGCGCTCCGGGACGATGCCGTATTCCTGGGACACGCAGTCGAAGATAAACCGGCTGGGCTTCCCGATGATGTCGGCCTGGCGCTGGGCAGCCATCTCCACGGCTCGAACCAGGCAGCCGGTACCTGCGGGACGGAAGGAAGGGGACGTCTGGGTCAGGGGGGCAGGCAGGCAGACAGACAGGGGCCGAGGCCCGCCCGGCCGCCTCCCCGCCCCGGGGCGCACGGACCCGCGATGAAGTGGCCGTTCTCCAGCGGGAGCCGATTGTCCATGTTGGTGCCCACGAGCAGGCAGCCGGGCTGCTGCAGGTAGCGCACGGCCTTGGTGAGCTTCATGTAGCTGAAGTGCGGGTCGAAGCCCACCACCACCGCGCGCACGTCCGGCTCCAGCGGGGCGGCCAGCCAGTCGCCGGGACCCTCGCCCCGCAGCGGCTCGGGACCCACGCCCACGCTGGCGATGCCCA